AAGTGGGCGGTCCAGTCTCCGTCCTTCCTGTATTCTGCAGGCAAGAGTTACATTATCTCCAACTTCGGGGCGATATTCCCAGCTCTCAGAATGTTCAGTCTTTTTTGAGTGGAAAGGGATTATACAGTAGCGCCGACAGAAAGTGGACAAACCTGGCTGGGAGGGGCAACACCCTAAACGCGGTGCAGGGGCATCCTAGCCAAAGTCGTTGCTAAGCTTGGGTCTCGTCGGATGAGGGTATTCTCCGTCCTCCCTTTCTACCAAGACGCCACCCTCCAGATTCTCATCCACGTTGAGCATACTTGGTCAATACGGGTCACGCCTGACCTGGTCGTCCGAACTGGCACAGCCAACAATTTCAAGTCTTCAAGGCCAGGGTGTGAAGGAGACGCATCGCTGTGGACATCGCACATCGAAAGAGCAGCAGGCGTTGTAATTGTGAGGACCAACCAAGATTTTGACAGCGCTCACGAGAAGATCCTACTCGAGGCCGCATATTTCGCTAGGTGAGTCCTAGGTCATCCTTCCTTCAATTTAGATGAACCCTCTAACATTCTTGCCTTATAGTGTATGCTTATTCGAGCAAGGAAATCGATTTTTCTTTCACGTCGTCGTCACAAACTCGCGCGTTCAGCTCCTGCGCTTCGACCGCGCCGGCTGCTTGGCATCGCCCAAAGACTCGAGTTCATCACGAAAGGTGACGTTGATGAACACGCGAAGAAACATTATGAGGAATATCTTGCGATCATCAATCAAGCTATTGCAGCCTTGGAACAAGAGACGCCAGAAGCCGCTCGCCCCGCGGTTGTCACCGAAGTGTCTGTCAGGAGTGCTATTCCGTCACAAGCGGCTCCGGCTGTTGTCGCGCACATATTGGCGGACATAAAGATGAATTCGCCTTGGGGAAAACGGAAGCGAGATGCTCGGGACGAGCAGTTCGCGGAGAAGGACAAGAAGGACAATATCCACGGGCTCGTTAAGGCGAGGCAAGTGAAGAGGACGAAGAAGGCTAAAAGCGCCGGTTGACGACGACAACTTTGAGGATGGAACGGAGGCATTTAGATTAACTGATTTCTACAACTGGATGGGGTTTTTTTTTCTGCGCTGTTGTAAAACCCTTGTATTTCCTCCCTGATAAATTTGTCATTTCGTCGTTGTTGGAGCTTGAAGGCGT